CCACTTTCTTCTTTGATTTTCTTGATCAGATGTTCCCAGCCTTTTTTTTTTTTTTTTTTGGTTTCTGAGGGCAGAGTTGTATCATCAGTATATCGAAGATGATTGATCCAATCTTTACCCAGATTTTTTGATTCTTCAAGATTCTTTCTCACAATTATTTCGGTATCCGGGTTGAATAAGAAAGGGAAAAGAATGCAATCTTGTCACACTCCTTTCTTGATCTTAAACTAATCAGTGACTCTAAATGATGTTAGCACAGTGGCTTTCTGATTTGTGTACAGTGATTACACCAAGTTGACCAGAGGTGCTGATACCCCCAGGTCTTGTAGGACTCTCCATAGCTTCTCATGATCAACATAATCAAAGACTTTTTTGTAGTCAATGAACCACATGTAAATGATCTTTTGATATTCCCAAGATTTTTCAATTGCTACCAATCCTGAGGGCTATACAGCCACTAGCATTAAAGGCAAAATGTCTTTTATTCACTTTTTGTTCAAGGAATCAAACAAAGATGTTTTCCCTAATGATGGTGAGAATGAATTTATGATTAAGCAAAGAAACCGAGATTAAAAATTATTACAATTCATTATGTATGTAATATTGCAAGATGACTAATAGATTGCAAGGATAGATTTTATTTGAGTTCTTTGGCATTTTCTGCACTAAGAAATTTCAATGGTGATTGTGTTGCTCAGAGAAATTGTTTATTTTCCCTAGTTCAGTTAGCTTAATGTTTTGAAAAAAAAGTTCTATTTCTACAGAAAAAAAAAGGAAAGTGTTGTCTATATGCAGGAGCAAACCAAGTTGCAGAGCAAACTTGATACAAACAAATTGTTGTATTCAATACTATGGAGAACAGAAATATAAATCCAGAACATGGAAAAATGTGTGATTGTTTCATTTCAAATTACTTTGAATGAAGCATCCACTCTAACTTCAGTTCCAATATACATTCTGATACTGGTATAACTTTCTCCATTAATTATAAGCAAAATTTTGCACACAGATCCTTCCTTGTTAATTGAAATTAGCAGGGGAACATTTATAAAGATAACTCTATGGTAGATGCACAGTATAACCTGGATCACAGCAAGGGTATAAATGACGCCACATGTATACTAGCTCCCTTGGCTAGGAAAATAGACTAAATAAATCAAATTATGCAATGTGCATTTTTCATGCTTTGGTTTAAAGGGAGATTGGTGTTGACTTCTTAGACTTGCCAATGAGACTGCTTCACAAGCCCATCTGAAAAGAGAAGTGCATAATAATTCAAGAGAAATCCTCTATCAAATTAATAATATATGTAGTTTTGAAGCTATGTCTCTCAATGTAATTTCTTTTCATCACGAATCCCTCCCATTAGCTGTGTTTACTAGCATTATTCACTAAAGATGGACTAAACTCTGCAAGGTAAAGTGCTGAGGTTGGAATTCAGTAACTTTTACATTTGCTCTTAACAATATTAGCCTTTCCATAAGCAGCTGAACAGAAGGAAGTGTTACTTTTTGATCTCCAAAGCCACGAGGTTTTGCAGTTTTATCCAGTTAGTCTTGCAGACTTTTTCATTAAAAAAAAATTCATTAGGGATATCAATAAATAATGAACATTGCAAATAATGTGCAAGTGACCTATCCTTAAATACTTGCTGTTTGCAAATATTAATCAGGCAATTTGAATTTGATTTCATGCTTTTCCATCTGAACATCAGATAAAGTATTACTTCCCTATCCAAAAACTAGGCAAGGCTATGGAAACGCTTAGCCCATGCTAAGCCTTTATTTGATTTAATTAGAATCTAATTAATGTAATACACTTAATATGAATACTTCCTCTGGATTTCTCCTTCTAGTTCATTAAAAATGGGGCAAAAGTTAGTTTCAAGAGGGACTTTGAGATTCAAATCAAAATCTTCCAGAGAGCACAATGTGCAGCCCAAAATCTGTTGGTTAGCAAACCTATTTAGGAAAACTGATGATGATTAGATGATGCCTATTCCACATTTAAACCTCCTACTACATTAAAAAAAACAAAAAGGACCATCACATGATTTCATACTCTAATTCTGAAGCAAAAATAAAAATATATGCACATATTAAATTTTCTATAGAAAGGGATAAAAAAAATCAAGAATGACATTTTCAAGTGGATTCAAAATGGATTGCAATAGTTTGGTTTAGTGGTTAAGGTACTAGGGAGAAACTGGGAGACTGGGAGATCTAGTCTTCCTTTAGGTAGAAAGCCAGCCGAGTAACTTTGGGCTTTCTCTCAGCCCCTATGAAGGAGGTCACAAAAATTTTCTTGCCAAGAAAATTTCAGGGAGTTGTCCAGGCTGTTGCTAGAAGTCAAAGCTGACTCGAAAAAAAAAAAAGGTATATTCTCATGCTGTAAGTTAGGGACATTAAAAAAAAAACCATTTTGGGAATAAAATGTTATGACTGACCAATATGGATTCTATTGTATCACGTAGTCCCCAGGTGGCTTTCCTGTATTAGAGACAAGAGAGGAAGATGAAGAGACATCTTTTTGCAAATTTGCATTTCTTAGACAAAGTTGCATGCAATAAGATGAGGGTTTTATTTATTATTTGTAAACTAAAACATAGAAAATATAACAAAGTAGAATAATGAGTGAATACATGAAGCACTTCCAGGCCCAGAAACAGACTGATGTGCATATTTCTCCTGAAGGATGGTTAAAAATACCAGTTGTGCAATAAATGTTATGTTCCCATCAAAAGAATGAGAACATTCCTTTGCTAAGAATTCTTAATATTCAGCAAAGTTATGCATTATATGTCATTTGATCATCTGAATATCTTTTCTTGCTCCACAAATTTGCTAATGAATGAGGCCAGACATCCTTAATAGAGTTCTCATTTATGGTTCAAATGAATTTAGATCACATACCATATTTATCTGAAAATAATATTATTCTAGCTGTAAGACACCCATGCCAAAGCAATGCAAAGACAAAATAAAAAAATTACAAACATTGATCAGGATCATATGCACTTCTAGGCTTTCCCCCTTTCCAGTCAAAGATTTCAACTGGTAATCCATATTAACAATAAAGTGCATGCATACATTTGTAAAATATGTACAAGTTTATTGTATACGTATGTGTATGTGTATCTATATTAATCTATTCTATATGGAGTCCCTACAGATTTTACTCCATTAGTTGTTACTAACTATAGGGGGTAGCACTCATCTCCATTTTGAGGCTGTGAGTAAATTCTGTCAGAAGACATTTCTGCAGTCATGTAGCCAACATAACATTGCAGAGCACTGTTTCCCTCCCACTGAAATGGTACTTATTTATCTACTCACATTTGCATGCTTTCAAACTTCTAGGTGGGCAGGAGCTTAGGTGAAGATGGGTACTCACCCCATTGCACAACACTCGGGTTTTGAACCCAGGCTGTTGGCTTTCAGCCAACAAGCCCAGTATCTTAATCACTGAGCCATCATGCTGCCATATCATCTATATACTGCATGTACAAAGTACAGGCCAGGAGCAATCTCGAGGTGAGTGAATGAATGACTACAGATGATTTTTTTTTGGCCGCAAATCAAGATACCCTATTTACAAAATGAATTGATTTCCCATTTTACATGTACCAACCATTCACACTAACAATGCTCAAAATAAGGGCTGAGATGGGGGTGGGGAATAGAAATGAGCTGGGAAGAAGGGATAAGTCTATTGAAAAGTTATTATATCTCCCTGATTAGAGGACAGTACACCCCTTCTGTCTGAGATGGTGGTCCTCTTCCACTGATCCTGCAACTTTAGGAGGATGAACAGGGTCCCAGCTTAGCCTTCTTAACCAGCCACCAAATCAGCCCTGATGATAAATGAGATGACAGCCAGATCACCCTCACATCCAGAGAGGAAAATAGAAAGAAAGAGAAAAAAACTGAATAGAGAAAATGTTCAAGGAAATGGCCAGAAAAGAAAAATAAGCTTCCCTTTTCAAGCTTGCTACCAAACTAGCAAGTTTCATGGTAAGAGGCAGTTTTCCTCCGTCATGGGACATCCAAGAAGAAAAAAGAAGAATATTCTCACTTGTAAGTGAAATAATTGTTTACTCATATAATTAAGAGACATCATACGGGCCCAACAGAAGCATCATTTCTCTTATCTGTCCCTGCTCGCATTACATGGTGGTAGAATGGGAGTTAAACTATGATCTGGAGCCAGCCAAACTGGAATGAGCTGGCTATTTCTTTCCAAGATCTTGATTCCTAGTTACCTACTTATCTCAGAAGATCTGAGATAAATAGCAAGGTAGCTATTTATCCAGTGGTGGGATTCAAATATGTGAACAACCGGTTCTTGTGTGGATGCCGCTTCCAGAAGTCCGTTCTGGGCCTGGGCAACAAAAAATTAGCTACCAGTTCTGCCAAACTGGGTGCGAACCGGCTGAATCCCACCACTGTATTTATTCTAACTTAAGAAGTTCTTGTTCTTGCCTTCCCTGAACAAAACAATGCCTAATGCTATACTGAAAGCATCATTTCTCCCTGGCACTTCTTTTTTGGTTCTTTTTAACATCATGGATTACCAAGAGTGCAATTACAGTACCACATTCTCTTTTCTGTTTGCTGTTCATAATGCTGTTGCCAAATGAATGCCGTGCCAATATTTTCCAAGCAATGAATTCATTTACAAAAGTCTATGCTGGCTCCACAGTGTTTGTCTACTTTTTAAAGAAAATCTCAGCATGGTCTGGCTTTCTTGGCCTCCCAGAACTTAGTAGTGCTGGCCAAATATTGCTTTCAGCAGTCCATTGGCAAAAGATTCTGCTGTAAGCATTGTTTACTCATTCAAAACCTACGGTCTGAAAAAAAAAAATAATTGAAACTTTTCCTATTCGCTTCCCCAAGTTGCTAAATACTGCCACACTATGTGGCACTGTCCCACAGATATCAAAACAGTTGTTGCAACCTGCTAATCCCAGTGCTGTGTTTGACATCTGCACTGACCTAAATCAGAGAGACGAAGAAACACATCAACAGCAAGCCAAAACCAATGCTTGGATTAGATCAGTAGCGGAATTCAGGATATCTTTGCTATATAAAAGCCTGTCTAACAATTGTGCAGGTAGGAAGTAATGTGTAGAGCTTTAAGGTGGCTATAAAAGCTCAGCTGGTGATACTCTGATACTGCTCATATGACACCTTCAAGAACCTTTAGTGAAAACTGCTGTTAAGACTAAAACTTATCAAAGGTAAGCCATATGAATATCTTCTTCATGACTATGAATAGATGCAAGACCCTACAGATGTATCCATAAAGGCAACAATAACAAATATTCTCTTAAAAGATTCAGGCTCACATATCTATATCGTAGTGTGATTCATTTCTCTCTGTTTCTGATACTTGTATCACTGCACAAATTGGTTCTACCCCCTTGATCTTGATCTTGATTTTTTTTTGTTAGTATTGAATGCATGCTTTTGTTTTGTTTCATTTTGTTTGTTTGTTTTTCTGTTTTGTATTTTATCTCTTATGATAAAATAATATAATAAAAACATTTTTGGTGGAAAAATATCTAGCTAACTCTAAGATCAATGTTATATGTTGCCTTTGTAGACATTAACTTATCCTTTGACTCAATTCCCAATGTGTTTGGCAAAGAAGGAAGGAATTCTGCATCTATATTTCTTGACTTCTTTTTATTCTACAATCCTCAACTTCCATAACAATTCTAGAATAAAAGACCAGTGTTCCTGCTCCAAATATTATCCCTTGATTATCCCATCATGTACAGTACACATTGGTACTTGTTTTGGCTTAGTTCTGTGTAGCACTGAATATTTTCAGCATCCATTAACGATTTATTGAGGGCATTTATTTCTTTAGCACCATTAAGAGCTTTTCTTTAAAGGCAAGAGCTTGATTATTATTCTCCAGAGATTAAAGCAACATTGCTTTGTTGAATAGCTGCTGTGACAGCCATTTCAAAAATTCATTACACATCTATCCTTCTTTGATATCATTCTTTTGTGCATGTTTTGCATGTGGACAAATCATGATTTTTGTATCTTCATAAAGCTCTACATTATCAAGCTTGCCTTGTTACAAAGATTAACTTGGGCTTTTTATAGCAAAATATGAGATAAAGAACTCCTTTCATTGATTAATATCCACCACTGTGCCTAAGGCATAATGACTCTAAGGATGGGTAATAAAAGGATATCGTGAACCCATGCTCATAATCTTTTTGAGACTGTGAGCCTGCAGTGGTTGATAAAGCAATGATTACTTCCTTTTTGCCCATAAGAATAAATTCTACTAAAACAAATAAGAGGTTTCTACTAGTTTATCCAGATTTAGAGTAGAACCTATACATACCAGAGCAGAGAGACAGAGTTATTGAAACATCTATTAAACAAGAAAGCGATTCTATTTAATCAATAAAGCAAGTCTCATTATGCTCCATCTATTTGTTGCCTTGCTTTGAAAATAACATTCATTAAATCTCCTCGTTTGAAAACTTTGCTTCAGCCTACATCAATGTAGAGGGCCAATCTGGGGTAGTGGTTAAGGCTCCAAGCTAAAAACTGGGAGACTGAATTCTAGTCTTGCCATAGGCACAAAGCCAGCTGATGACCTTGAGCTTGTCCCTCCCTCTTAACCCTAAGAAGGAGCCAGTGGCAAACCACTTCCAAAATCTTGCCAAGAAAACTACAAGGACTTGACTAGGCAGTCACCAAAATTCAATACTAACTCACAGGTGTATGCCTGCATGTATGTGTGTGTGCATGCACACCCACACAATCAGTATAAGAGAAATCTTTGGATATGAGGATTGTATAACTGACTGATACTGATACTTCTAGGGCTAAATTCAGAGCAATCTGGGGCTCAGAAGCAAGACACAGCTCTCATCCCTTTATCAAATTTTAAAAAGGGTTCTAACAGCATACAATTAAAACCACTAGTAAACGTCTTTCTTTCCCTTTGTAGCCTTGCCTTGGGGGAATGGGGGAAGGCAGAGAAGTAGCTATCAAAAAGAAGATGTGTTCAGAAGAGTGGGTCATGCCATTAATTTTTGGTTTGGGCTTAACCCTACTCTTACCACAGGCAGACTTCTGAGAATCTGGCTCTTAATAGTAAGGGCTGGCAACACTTGTAGGGTAGATGAAATGCCATGCAAGTCAACAGAACTTTACTTTTCCTTAAAGTTTAATTGTTTTTGTGGGCTTTTACAGGGCTTTTGACTTTGCCCTCCCTAAATCTTACCAGGTACCAAGTGCACACAAAAAATGAAAAAGAAGAAATTAAATATTTCTCTTTCTTATGTTTAATTGTGGTGCCAAAACTTAATAAAAGGCAATACAGTAGTAGTAGTAGTAGTAGTAGTAGTAGTAGTAGTAGTAATAGTAGCCTTTTTTAATAAATGTGCATTATAAAATATTCAATACAAACTGTCCTCTATGATATACAATATGTATATTTAAAATGGAACTATGTAGGAAAAAAACCTAGTTCAGTAAACTAACTGTTAGAATACCTTCAACTCTCTCTCTCTTTCTCTCTCTCTCTGTTAAATAGCATCCAATAGAGTTGCTGAGAATTGGACATGATTGAATGGGTAGCATCATCACATGTAAATGAGATTAATTCATACCTACATATCCATTATACAATTCCTTTTTGGTAAACTGCATAACATAAAGCACAGAAAAGGAGTAAGAAATTGTGAACAAAACTATATAACACATACAATAAGAAAAAAAAATAAAATTGAGCTAAATCTAGGTCTAGTTTACCCCAATTCCTTATACTTTTTAATTCCTTTCTAAGCCAGGAAAACTCCTTGCTTCTATCACATCCATATGCTATTTCATACATTGTGTTTGGTCTTTTAAACTTCTCCTCTGTTTTTTGAGCATTTTATCAACTCCATCAAGGCACAACTTTTTTAGTCTCCCACTTCCTCTCAAGCATATATTTGTTTTGTGAATCATCCTTTCTCTTTCTAGGATGAACTACCTCAATGTATTTCTTTCACAATGGTCGTATGCTTCATATTCAACACATACTCATTGATCACCCATTTTATTTTGTTTTACTACATGTACAAATACTAACATATTCCCATTACAATTCAGTGATTTCATATTTCCCCTCTCACCCAACCATCTCTCATGAGAAAGTGGGAAGAAGCATGTTTTCTTACAAAGCTGTTTTCTCTTCTTTCAATGAACTTTTTGTACTTCTTAATATTTTACATTACATTTTCTATTCTTTAGTAAACATCCTACAAGGTACACAAATTCATCTATTTTGGTCTAGTTTTTCACATTTATATGTAACATATTGTTTGCTCCATTTTATCTGTCAAATCTATTGATGGATTAGGACCAAACTTTGGTCCTAATTCATTGATTTTTTTAAATCCATACTTCTTATTGAATCATCCAGTCTATGTAACATTCTCTGCAAATCTTTCATCTTTTTAGCCAACAGCAGGTCATAGTCTGAGTAGAAATGGATGTACTGATTCCTCTCTGCCATCATCACAAGTATTCCTTATAGATTTGTCCATAAATACATTACAGAAACAAAGACCATCACAAAGATTTGATCCCTTGCTAGGTAGTTTCTAGATTAGAGGGGATAACCAGTGATGTCTCCAGGTTTTTGCTGCTTTCACCAAAAGGTGTTGCAATGCTTATGAACTTCCAAAATACATGTGATTGGCTACAGTGTGACAAAGAAAAATAGATCAGATAAACCCTTTGTGGTAACAATATGGCTCATATAGAGTATGCAAATAGCTTTATCCCACTATCCGGGGAAGTTCTGTGTTTCCTATCTTTTTTTATTAAAAGATTTTTTAAAAAATAACATAAAAGCAATAGAAGCTAATACAGAATAAAGGGGGGAGAGAGAGAGAGAGAGAGAGAGAGAGAGAGAGAGAGAGAGAGAGAGAGAGAGAGAGAGAGAGAGAGAGAAGAAAGAAAAAATGCAGAAACCCCCCCCAAAAGAAATAGAAATAAGTTTCTGATTTCCTTTGCAGCAAATACAATTACTAAATTATCTCTTACTCTAGGATTATAATAAAAAAACTCACTTTTTATTATCCATTTTTTTCTTATCATCAATGTAAGATGTGCATTTTTTGTGTTTCATACAAAAAGTCTATAAACGGTTTCCAGTCAGCCATAAAATGTAGATATTGGCTTTTCTCTAATCAGGGAATTTAATTTAACTATCTCTGCAAGTTCTGTCATCTTCAGTAACCATTCCTCTGTTATGGGTAGCGTCAAATCTTTCCACTTTTGAACAAATAAATGGTATTGTTGCAGTTGTTATAGATAAAGACCATTACCTTTTTTTCTAATTTTCTGTTCATTAGTCCACCCCAAAAGCCTTTGGTTTCAACTGTAATTTTAGTCTTTAAAAATCTTCTGAATTAATATATGTATATGACTACAATTTTAAGCTTTTTTAACATCTACCAAACATAATAAAATATCCCTTCCTATAGTTTACATTTTCAGAAAAGATTCAAAGTATCTTTATACATTCTAAACAATTTCTCTGGTGACCAATGATACATTATTTTGTAAAAATTCTCTTTAAGATTATAAAATAATGTAAATCTGTTCTACTACATCTTTTCACATTGATCCATTTGTATATTATAATCACATTGTTCAGCGCATGTCATCATACATTCCTGTTCTCGTCTTATTTTTTTTAAAAAATATACAATTAGCAATAACATGTTCCTCACTGATATATAGTTCTGTTTCAAACTCAGTTTTACATTGTTCAAAACCATAAAATCTTCCATCCACTTTAAACCTTTTTAATAATTGTACACAGGAAAACCATTGACAATATAACCTTCTTAAATCTTCTCTTGATTTTATTTTACAATCCCCTTCAGAAAATTTTAGTGTATCACAGTAAGTTAACCTTTAATACTTAGTTCTCATTTTTGATCTATAAAATGCTTCTTGTACTGAAAACCACAAGACATTTTAGGGCATAATCTGAATTTATATTCATTCCTAATTTTAAGATTGATTTTAATATGATTTTTTAAAATCTTTTGTTGTTAATTGCGAAGTTGTGTCCGACCCATCGTGACCCCATGGACAACGTTCCTCCAGGTCTTCCTGTCCTCTACCATCTTCTGGAGTCCATTTAAGTTCTCACCTACTGCTTCAGTGACTCCATCCAGCCATCTCATTCTCTGTCGCCCCCTTC